GGATTTTGGTCAAACCCAGTCGGGTCCCTCACTTGACCCGGTCGGGTCTGACTTGACCCGGACAAGTTAACGTGCAAAAACAAGAAATCGTGGGAGATAATCCGATTTTGACCGGTACCCGGTCGGGTATGTACCTATACCCGGTCGGGTACCCGGCCAAAGGTGTTGAAAAACACCTATAAATAGCACACTTTTTCTTCACAAAAGAGCCATCCCTTCTTCCATACTCTTAAGCTCAGTTTAGAATAGTATTTCTTTTATATTTTTATAGTATGTTTAGTCTCCAAATGAGGAGCTAAACTTCCATTTCTTGGTTTTGCTCTTGAAGCTTGTTGATTATTAAAGTTGTGAGTTATTTTCTTGCTTTCTCCTCTTGATTATTAATTCTTCCCTTAATCTCATTCTATATTGATATTGGAGGGTGGCTAAGTGACGATTAGTTAACGTTCCAACATTGATTATTACTAGAAACGATCAACGAACCGATGGTTAAACGTTGATGGTTTCACAAGTAAGTAACTTCGGTTTATTAATGCACGGTCGTGGTTAATAAACTTAAGAGGGATTAATTTTGTTGGTTAAACTGAAACCGTTGTGTTGAGGTTATCAATCTCAATTGATTTCATCTAGGAGTTAAAGAGGTTTAATGCTACTATCAAGTCGGTATATGGCGGTGTTCTATACATGACTAATAGTAAGGGTTATTAACGAACGGTCGTTGTTAATAACTACCCTCGATGAATTGGATATACTCCTCGATTGAGTATTCGAGAGGGGATAAGTTATAGATATAACAATGATCGACTAAAATATATCAACAAGTGGAAAGTAGCAAGACCAAGTCCCTTTTATTTTTGAATTTAATCTCATATAACTCGTTCATCTTCGTATTTAATTTAATTAAATCACTCAACAATCAAAACCCCCCTTTATTTACTATTTATATAAAAAGAAAGTTATTCCTTTCCCTGTGGATACGAACTCTACTTCACCTATACTACGTATAAGTGTTAGTGTTGAATTTATTTTGAGTGCACTCACGACAAAGTGCACGTCACTAACCATCAAGCCCAACCCGGCTAACCCCAAAAAATGAAAAAAAAAAATCAATTCGGCCCGGGCCCGGGCCCGACCCGGCCGGGCCGCTTCGCCAAATACAAGGCCCGAGCCCGGACCCGCCCCCCCACCAGGCCTAGGCTCGACCCGGACCCGGACCCAGACCCGGACCCGAGAACCGGGCCGGTTTCGGGCCCGCACATTGGCGGGCCGGGCCGGTCCCGGGCCGGGCGGCCCGAACCGGGTCCATGCCTAGGTGGGAGTGTGATATCCACTACAATGTCTTGAGTTCGATCCTCATTGGTCTAAGTTTGTATATATGTTAAAATACATGTGAATGGGATGACATGGATAGTGGAGTGCAAATAATGGTATCTTAGAGTACCTCTAACATTACACAATATCTATTATTGAACTTCTTTCCATCATTTGCAATGGAGTCAAAGATCACTATTTTTTGGCTTAGGAGTGTGTTGGAATAAAACAAAATGGCTCACTAAATTGTCTGCGCTTCTTTGTTATGAAGCAGCAGTCAGTCCATGCAATTTTCGACGTGATTTTCACTATGGGTCATCCGGAAACAGTCTCTTTGTGCTTTAGTACAAGGGTAAGACTGCGTACATCCGACCCCCCTTAACCCACCGAAGGTGGGAGCCTTTGCGGCACTGGGGTAATGATGATAATGAATGATATCTGTTGGATAATTAATACCCATATTGTATGAAAAGGAGATTTGAACAAGAAATTGGAGATGGAGATAAATGTGTATTGTGAATGAACTATGAGTGTCTATGAGTTATGTTTACAAGCCTTACATAAGAGAGTATATATATAGGGAAAATCCGGGACTAGGCCTCTAATATGAGCCTGACAGACCCGGTTACATAAATGGACTAATAGTATAAAAGCTAATCTAGAACATCGGAATAATAATAATGTACAATAATAAGAATCCGCTAAACGTGTGTGGGCCACTGTCCAGGCCAAATAGTCGGCAGACCGGGGGGTCGGAGTCCATATACTCCATCAGGAGTCCCCCACTCCCTGAGCCGAGAGTACTCGAGGTGAAATGGAGTAGTCCAAACAAACTGTAGCTGCAACGTTCTGTCTTTGGTTTCTTTCTCTCCGGCCGGGGGACCACCACCCTTGTCCATGATGGGGAGGTGCCTCGTTAAAAACTTTTACTAGGAAAAAACCCAGTGGGAAAAAATCCTAATAAAGGGAAAAAGAGTACACCTAGTGCGCCCAACATGAAACAAGGAAGGTAAGCCCCCTCCGGCTTAATCAGTTTTGTCTAGCTCAACCCGTCTTCATCTGACTCGTCTTTCGTTCATGCTCATGCGTGATATTTTGTGCTCATCTAGAAACTCTGACCCCTCAGTCCCCCAGTCCCCCACTCCTTGAGGCGAATGGAGACAAGGTGAAAATGAGTAAAGTCATCTTCGTACCTACACATTTAACATACATATAATTTTTTTTTTGGGATTTATGTTTCCGATCGGGAGTTCGTTACTTGAAATAAGTGGAGATGTGAATTGTTAATGTAATGATAAAATACTTAGTAGAATAGATGTGTGAGCCATTCATAAGCAACGGTCGCCACTCGAGGAATGACTAAGACCGGTCTTCGTGCCCGACTTGATCGGGGCTTTGTCTTCGTGCCCGACTTGGTCGGGGCTTTGTGCCTGATGTTGGTCAGGGCTTTAAATCCCAGTGATGGGTCTCAAGCCACACTCTACTAGGCATTTGATCATAAGTGCGTGATAGTGTGACATTCACCCGACAAAAAATATTGATTTAAAATAAATATAAATAATATTAAAATTAAAGATACTTATCTTTTAAATACTAATTATGTTGCTTGGACAAGATGATCCATATGTGCTGGAAAAGAGCATGGCCCAACTAATAAACTGGCGTTGGTGTGGCTCATCATGCTGAATAGTTTGGGCCCAATAACTGCACTGGACAGCCGTAGTCCTTCCTCAGTTCCTCTTGCTCTTTCTTGGACCAAAAAGGACCGTCCTCCTCGCCGAGCAATAATTGGAGCCAGCAGAAGATTTGAGAACAAATGTTGACCAAGTCAACATCTTCCTTTTCTCGAGAGGGGAACCTTCCACCGGCGTCTCATGAACATAAGTGGCCCTTGAAGGTCCGACAGACAAGGTAGTTTGTCGGAGTCTGTGTTTTGGCGGCGATGGCACTGACATATCACGACCGGACTGAGCTACCGGAGTTGCGCTTAGGCGAGGTCTCCAGAGCTAGGATCTGAGGTTGAAGAGTGACGTAGAGCTATGTGGCCAGGCTGTAACCCCCGTTAGACTGTCACGACCTCGGGCAATCATAGAGCTATTTGGCCCAGACGCGGTGGCGGAGCGACCGAGAACGAGGTGGGATGCGTCGGAGAGATTTGTGGTGATGACGGCGAGATATGGGTCAGCCGCAGGCATTCCCACGCACGGCAGCGTCGAGGATGGCGAACCAGATCTGAGCCTTCTGAGAACAGCGGCGGTTCTGCGACTTGCTCGCCAACGAGGTGGGAAAGTCCGCTGCAACCGGCGTTTGGAGTCTCCTGCTGGTAAAGCGAGTGGGTAGAAGAAACAACGGTGAGCGGTGGTGCTGCGACGCTGGTGGAGCCAAGAGCGAGTTGTCTTCGTTGTACGCCAATGACAGGTGGAGGAGCTTAGCTTGCAAAGCTTGCCTTTTCCAGATCCAAAAGTTGAAGGTTCCAACCTGGAAACTATAGCCGACGGCTCACAGCGGCGGTTGAGATCTGTGTCGATGGTGTCTAGCCGGCTGCAGGGGTGCTAGACCAGGAGTGGGGTGATGCTACCTGGGGGCTGGGACGCCGATGCAAGGTGACGGTTGCTCCGGCCAGTTCTGCTAAATCCCATATTTCCCATTCCAGATCCGTTCCTGCTATGTCTTTTTTCATTTTTCCAGAACAGTTTTTTTGTAAACAGATAAATTTTTGGGTAATTTGGGGAGGTTTTCTCACTTGATTGTGTTCAACCTCTCAACGAGAGCACCATTGTTGGATAATTGATACCCATATTATATGAAAAGGAGATTTGAACAAGAAATTGGAGATGGAGATAAATGTGTATTGTGAATGAACTATGAGTGTCTATGAGTTATGTTTACAAGCCTTACATAAGGGAGTATATATATAGGGAAAATCCGGGTCTAGGCCTCTAATATGAGCCTGGCAGACCCGATTACATAAATGGACTAATAGTATAAAAAACTAATCTAGAACATCGGAATAATAATGTACAATAATAAGAATCCGCTAAACGTGTGTGGGCCACTGTCCAGGCGCAATAGTCGGCAGAACGGGGGGTCGGAGTCCATATACTCCATCAATATCTATTATTGAACTTAGAAAATTTTGATTGGAGAAGGTATGATTATATATTACACCAAAAAGTTCAACGTGAAGACACACAAAAATGAATACATGAATAGGCATATTCAATTATACTGTGTATGTTAATCTGGTGGAGCCCCCGCTAGTGTGATTTTAGAATTGTATCATATTCTAATGTTCCAATAGCCAAGGCAATACAAACAATTGACTCTGGAGTGCACGTATATACGCTTTCAAAACCGAATATAATTATTACACAATTTTTATTACTGAACTCAGATAATTTTGAACAGAGAAGATATGAATATTACACAAAGAAATTTGAAAGTGAAGATGCAAAAAATGAATTTATGAACATGCATATTCAATTATCATACTTTGTAAAGTATTCTAGTGGAACATCGGAGCAATGTAATTATAGAATTATAGAATATAATTCTAGAATTACTTAACTCCGATGCTCCACTAGGATACTATGGATAATATAAGAATTAAACTCACAATTGTTATTGTTGTTGAATAAATCTTTCAATCAATATTCCAATAACCACTACAAACAATGGTCTTTAAGAGTGCACTTATAAACGCTTTAAGAACCGATTAAAGTTTTTGGTGTGGGAAAACACAAAATCAAACCAAAGCAGGTTTAAAAAATCTTGACATTAATTTGGAGCGTATGGCCCGGACGTTTATTGAATGCTAAGAGGTCTAATTATTTAAAACATGAATTCTAATCGGATAGTGAATGCTTGTTTCAAATGGAAAAATTTCAAAGTAGAATTGAAGGAGTGTGAAAACTGTAATTCTGTTAAGAATTAGCGGCCTTCGCTTCCACGCTAGGCGCCCCATGGAATTGGAGAGTCACCGGCACACTTGCTTGAAGCTGGAAATTCCGAGCAGAGGCGAGCAGGAACCCGGACATTTCGAACGCATCTTCGTCAAAGGCACCTGGTTCACATCTCGCTTCGACCTCTCCATCACCAATGGCCTCGACGCTTGGACATGCAGTGGTACTTTGGTGCAATGTTTTATTCGTTTTAGCTTCAAATTATTCCATTACAGTTTCATTTTACAGTTCCGGTAAATGCTCGGTTTTGAAGCTTCGGAGGAGGAGATTCAAGAGAGAGCGTCTCAGTGGGACCAGCCGGTTCCGGAATACATTGAAATGGCGGAGAAGTACTTAGGGTTTCAACAACCCGGTTCGGTTTATGGGTTCTCTGATGCCGGTTCTGGCCACAGAAGAGTACGTTTTTTTCGAAATAGTGCTTGGAATTTGTGTGTTCTTCCAGTGCTTTTCACTTTGTTGGAGATCAATTGCATTATTCCAGAGATCCATGGGCTAAAGTGCACATCTCTTAGAGTGGTACTATATGTGGAAATGGGTTCAATTTTTCTGATCCTGGGCTACTTTACCAATTTTAAGTGAAGTTTAAGATTGGATGAGTATTCAGTGATCTTTATGAAAAGCTTTGCTGTAATGTGTTTGACTTGTTTTTTGTTCAAAGCTTGGATTTTGCGTGAAATATAGATAATAGAAATATCAGGAAACAAAATTGAGTACCTTTTCAACATGTTTTCTACATTAAAAATGGAAGTTACAATTTTGTTTTATGCTAGACATTTTTTTAGCATGACAACTTAGTAAGCTGTTGCACTTAAGGTTCAAAAAGCTTTGGAAACTAATGCATTATTGTGTCACAGGAAAGTCTTTTGACAGTTTCTTGTTCAGGGCTCCCTTTGGCAGTCAATATCGGCATATGCTGCTTGGTTTTTTTCACTTACATATGTATGTATATATATTTATATATATATATATATAATATGGATAAAATGAATGTTACTCAATGTCATTTCTTTTAGATTATTCACCATTTATTTAAGCCAAATAGCCTTTGTGAAACAGACCCTAGTTGTTCAAGATATGATAATTCAAAGAATGTATGCCTTTGTTATTAGAAAGACATAACTAATGTGATTTGTTTTATTAACATAAGCTGATCAGCGTTCTTGATACATTGTAGCTTTCATGGACATTTGAGAAAGCAGGAACAAAGCTGGAGTGGCGGTGGAAATGCCAACCATCATCCAATAACAAGAACACTACAGCTGACATCTTGGACTTTCTCATGGATTCCAACATACAACTGAGTGTAAGACCAAACACCACTTTACTTTTGTTTGTGCGGGACAAACAAAACATTGGTTGATATGAAATTAATTTATTTTTAACATTTGTTCCATCTCATTTTATTTATTTAATGTAAGATAAATATATATGGAGGACATTTTTTTAAGTATAAAACAAAACATTGGTTTTGCCTATAGTTCAAATGGGAGAAAATGTGTATTTCATAGGTTCTTGTTATGATTTATATAGGAGGAAGTTCTCGACAAAACACAGGCATTCGAGAGTCTACAATCTGAAGCCGAAAAATGCTTATCTCAAAGTGAGAGGCTTGTCAAAGAGAAGGAAGAATTTGAAAATGCTTTATATGCAAAGGTTTGTGACTATGTGCACAACTGTACTTCATTGGTTTCACAGTTTACGACATGTATTGTCTTTTATAGACCAGTTCCCAGCTTCATAAGCCTGCCCCACCCAAAAGAAATTCATCTTTGGTTTCTTAATCTTATCCCAAATTGGCACAGCCTAATCCCACTCGAGCCCCGCCTAGAAACCATGCCCAAGCCTTCTTAGGATCCAAAAGATAAAAAGGCCTGAAACAAACATATTCATTTGGTTTTGTACATTGAATTTGGAAAATAACCAGACATTTCTTGGCCAATAAAGATCAGTTCGTGGCCTCCTACTTTAACGGATCAACAGTTTTCTATTATAAAACAAACACATATTCTTATTTTCATCTCATTATTTTTGTTTTAGGAGTTGCCACATTGAAGGCATCACACATAAAATTTGGCCACTATTTTTCCCCATGAATTTATAGTAAAGTAATTTTATACATTGTCACTATAAATTTCATTCCACAAGCATATACCCCAACCTTAGGTTCATTCAACATTAAACAATACTTTGTTTGGTAGTGAATGAGTGCATTCTCCTTTCCCTTTGTTCCCAGTTTGTTGGAGTATTGAATTCAAAGAAAGAAAAACTGAGAGAGCTTCGTGATAGACTTCAAAACGAACCATCCGGTAAGGGAGCACAAGAGGAAGATGATGAAGAAGAAAGGACGAGTGACACAACGGAGACGTTTGACGAGGATGAAAGTAATGAAGAAAGAAGTGAAGATGAAGCAGTGGACATGGATGCTGCTGGCTCCTCCAAAGATACTACAACCAGAAAGGGCCGTCATTGAATTGGTAGAATGTAGAAACAACCATTGGACTCTACTTGCAACTAGTAGCTTTCTGCGATACCATATTCACCACAAGGCTATTGTGATTTGTATCTTTTCTTGTAAAGTGTCCATATATATAATCCTTCTGTGGCTCCAGCCTATTATAAGATTCTCGCTTTGGTTTGGCTTATTAATGGCTGTGGAGTTTCATGGTTGCGATTTTAGATTTATTTGGGGAGAAGAGAAGTGATATGAATTACACAGTATTTCTTAACAGTTAAAAATAGAGTAGAACCCAATAAGAGGGAGTACATATCAAATTATTAATAATCATGCATATTGTGTAAAGAGAGAACCTGTACCTTAACTGGGTAAATTGGTTTCGGTTCCGAATTGGCATCTAGCTCAATTTTAGCTCCTTTTTAAAGATGAAGTATAAAAAACAGTCCATTCCGGTTACAATGTGTTAATGAATACAATTTAATAGGCTAACAAATAAATAATGATAACATATTATTATGAATTAATCATGATCTTAAATACTAGTATCAGATTGTTTTGTATTAATGACTCCTTCATGGTGACTGTTCAACTAATTTGGCCAAACGTTGAGTTTGGTTTTCACTAAGGTAATGAGTGCAGGCGTGGGCTCGACCGTCGATAGGCCTCCTATGCCAAAAGCCTTATGAAATGGTTGGTCATAACTCATAACTAGATCATTATATTCATCAATATTTTTTCTTTACTGTATGAATAAAATATACATAGTATTTTTTATATGATTCTTTCATAATTGAGCTTCTGCAATTTTTTCCCCTTCAACTCCAAAGCTATAGCGTCATTCGGGAGGAAGCAAGGTGTAGCGATGGTTACCAATCTGTTGAAAACCCTTCTACGACCCCTGGTCACCTGTTTCCCTTCCGGGTCGAGGAGTATTAACGGCAGTGCCGCCTGCATCGTTAGCAGCGAGATCTTCACCTCTCACACTGCTAAATGGATGCAGGATATGAACAAAAAATCTCCAATGGAGTTGATCAATGAAGTTCCACCATTGAAGGTGAATGGCAGGATTGCTGCCTGTGATGGAGATAGTAACCCTGCACTTGGACATCCAATTGAGTACTGGGCTTACGTAATATCCAAGATCAGTGGTCATCACCATTGAGATGCTGAAAATCAACCATTTGTCTTCTTATGCAACTGCCCTAATGAAACAGGACTGCATCCTCTTATCAACTGTACTGTGAACCTCATTTTAATTCTGTAATAACAACTATATTATGTCTTTATGAACATGAGTTGTTGTGTTTAAGTGAATATTTCATTACTATGTGGATGAGAAGAACAGTATAGAGTTCAATTATTTTTGTCGAACATAACATGGAAATGAGTCCTTAAGGGGCGTGTTTGGTCAAAACAGTTGGAAAAACAGTTGGTCAAAACACCACACTAGGCCATAGCGCCGACAAAATTTACGGAATCGCCCTTTGCAGGGCCGATTCAACCTCTGAAACTTGCAGCAAATGCGTCAAAACTGGAACCAAAAACCTCACAGAGAATTGCCCGAACCAAATTGAAGCCATCATTTGGGCGAGTGAGAGCTCCGTTCCGTGCATCGTTAGGTATTCGAACCGTTCCATTTTCGGGGAATCGAAGCGGATGAAGTTGAATCGGTTAAGAAGGTATGTGATCCTCACGTCTCGAGGTTAATGGCCAAAGCTTCTAAGGGGACGAAGATCAAGTATGCTTCCGGCCAAACGAATTTGCAGAGATTTCGGATAATTTACGCTCTTACGCAGTGCACTCCAGATTTGCCTCGTTCTGATTGTGACTCTTGTTTGAGAACCGTTGTGAGTGATTTTCAGGATTGCTGCGTTAAAAACAAAGGAGGGGTTTCCTACAACCCGAACTGTCTATTTCGTTGGGAGCTGTATCCCTTCTTTAACTCTTCTTATACTGAAGTGATAAAGTTCTAATCACTTCAAACATCCATACTCAAACTTAACTAAGTGAACCGTTAACAGAGTTTTTTCCCGGAATAATGCTGCATAAATAAATAATTCCCAAAATACTGCTGGGTTAAAAATAATTCCCAAAATACTGCTGGGTTAACTGTGGTTAAGAAAAGCCGCCACTTGAAATGGCGGTTTTTCTCTACACAGTACAAGAGCCGCCACTTGAAGTGGCGGCTTTTCTTAAAGAATAAAGCAACCACGTAACGTATACGAAGTACAAGTCTAAAAACAAATGTTGTGGGACCCATCCAAAATTAAAAATCCCCTGTTTTCTTTGAACTGCTATAATTTTTTTATTTGTACTCTAATTGTTACAAAAAATATATCAATATTCATAATTTTTTATTATCTTTCATATGACACCAATATTGAATATATAAAATAAAAATAATAATTTAACACTAAAAATTACTATCTCTGGTCCTAAATAAACTTCTCGTACACTTTACGATGCTTGACTGACGATAAAACAACCCGATCCATGTTCACACCCGGTTTATTTTTAGTGAATAAAATTTACATTTTCAGAAACTACATTAAAACCGCTATAAATTTTCTTGATCAGTCTTTATAGCGGTTTTAATGTAGTTTCTGAAAATGTAAATTTTCTAAAAATGTAAATTTTATTTACTAAAAGTAATTAAATCGGGTGTGAACATGGATCGGGTTGTTTTATCGTCAGTCAAGTATTGTAAAGTGTACAAGAAGTTTATTTAGGACCGGAGATAGTAATTTTTAGTGTTAAATTATTTTTTTATTTTATATATTCAATATTGGTGTCATATGAAAGATAATAAAAAATTATGAATATTGATATATTTTTTGTAACAATCAGAGTACAAATAAAAAAGTTACAACAGTTCAAAGAAAACAGGGGATTTTTAATTTTGGATGGGTCCCACTTTATTTATTGTTAGACTTGAGCATACGAAGTACGAAGTATATGTTACGTAGATGTGTTGGTTGCTTTGTTCTTTAAGAAAAGCCGCCACTTCAAGTGGCGGCTCTTGTACTGTGTAGAGAAAAACCGCCATTTCAAGTGGCGGCTTTTCTTAACCACAGTTATCCCAACAGTATTTTGGGAATTATTTTTAACCCAGCAATATTTTGGGAATTATTTATTTATGCAGCATTATTCCGGGAAAAAACTCCCGTTAACAGAATAAAAGAATATTTCAATTTTCCTTCATTTAATAAGTAGAAGTGTAGAACATAAAAATCTTTGTCATGTGGTAACAATGAAGGTTGGTCATCATCATAATAACAAGATAAGACGTCCAATTCAAATCTTTCAAAACTTAACAAATAAATCTACAATAAATCTAATCGTTACAAACTTACAAATACCATGTAGATAGTGAAGTAAAATATATGCAATCAACTTCAAGTTATTTGTGTTATTTTATATTTATAAAACTTATGGGATGTAACAAGCTTAACACATTCAATCTCATGTGCAATATTGATTACTTTTGTTTTTGTTTGTTAAATTACAATATTTGGCTAAATACCATTGATTGTAATACTATTGTTATTGTTGATATTATTGCTATTACTATCACTACTACAATTACAATTTTTATTTTTATTTTTTACTAACGGTTCCGTGCACATATTTTTTATATGAACCAAGAACCGAACTGTTAGTAACAATTAGGAACCGAACCGTTAACAACTAATACCACATTTGTAGGAACCGAACCGAACCGAACTGGGATATAACGGTTCGGTTCCAACTGGTTCTACACTTCCCAGTTCTGAAATCCCACCCCTATACTAGTAATATAATTGAGTATTTAATAAAAGATAAACTTACCAAAAATGGAAGTGTCACAAACTTTTAAATACCTCCCAAAAAGGAAAGTGTAGCAAACATAAAAATACGGAGGGAGTACGCAGTATAAAATTTATCTACAAAAATATGACCGATAGTTACTATAATGATTCCCTTTTAAAAATAATCGTGTCACCTTCATTCTTATTATGTACTATATTATTTATAAAGAATGACACCCCACCCTTGAGGCTCCCCAGGACCGACCGCGGTGGGGGACTTTGGGGGTCCTGGGGGGAGTGCTCCCACTTCGACTTAGGATAAAAATAGTTTCCCCTTATCCGGATAAAAAAACACTTCGTACACCTGTTAGATGAGGTCAAATTACGTCAAAGAGCACATGGAAATTGTTATAAGACATTTAAACGATTGTGGGATTATGATCGAATGATTGCTTAGAGTTAGACATGTTATTGACACAACCATTATTTGAAAAGTGACATTGCTGGTGTTTTTTAAAAGTATGAATTGTCTTTGTTCATAATTAGATGTCAAGGATATCACGAGACTTCAATATACACGGTGAGTTTAATGAATTGAAGACACTTATCTTGAATGAAAAATGAAAGTTCATACACAAGATATATTCATGCATAAAAAAGTTTGAGAATAACTTCTATAAATATTTGTCCATGATTATTAAAATGATGGGGTCATTTGTGACTTCACAATTTAGAACAATTGTTCGAATTCTTTGTATGTGATCTTCTACAATGTACGTTTATATATGACAATATATTTGATGATAGTACTATTTAAAAATCAAAGGGCATTGAGTATCCTGGTAATGATAGAGCGTTATCAGATCAATTTATTTTTATTGCACACTTAATTGATCAAGAAAGTATTAGGATTTATGAATATGATATGTTATTATGACATTTCTTGCAACAAAAAGTCAAGCTATCCTTGAGGTTGTGAGCTTGTTTAAGAACACTATAGGCAATTTTCAAGATTTGAGAGAAAAATGAATGAGAAGAACGAACTTAATGTTCGTAACATGAAAGTTGCTAAATATCATTCTAAATGTGTAATCTATAACAAATTAATTATTATGCTCTTACACTTTGTGAGGTATACACCGCCACAACCACTGCACCATCATTAACATTATTTATACACTTCATTTTTGACACAACGATAATGTGATGCATATAACGTTGGACACGATCATAATTGGAAATTTGAATGTTTGAGAGCTTATAATACGAGCTCAGAATTATAAGCGGTGCAAGGATGGTTTAGTTGTAATTCATGTTATGTCTTTTTTTTCTTCTAAAACTCAATATTATTATTTAGGATTGTCTTAATAGGTTAAAACTAGACCTATAAATCATAGGTGAACATCCTTAAAACTGACATTGGACAAATTATTTCCGTTTAAAACGTATTGTCTGCACGAGCTAGATAGAATAGACCAATCTCACACTCGACGTGACCTGACCTGACCTGTTTCTATCCATTTTGCAGTGCCCTTTCTTGACAAAAGCTCTGAGTCCACCACTGACCGGCTGAACAACTAACTTGCAGATGTAAATGAGACTTTAATCACAAGCTGATAGATAACCAGTGAGGCTCTGAACCTAGTACTTGTAGAGGCCTGTGCATTGTTACATATATAGTAACCTTTCATCTCAATTGTCGGGATTCGAATCTGAGACTTACCCTTTGTGCACTCCCTATCTGTCGGATGAGCTACGCCTACCGGCGTTGTGTATTATTCATAGCATTTGCCATTTATAAAGCGTATAGATGGCATGTTAGGTCCATGTCCAGCCAAAATTCAGTTTCTTTTTAGATTATTAGGGTAAAAAATTAGATCAATGATTTTTCTAAAAAAATTGTTCTCGCCAGACGCCAGCCCAATCAATATATACCGTCTGACTATACCTATGACTTTTTTCAAAGTTTGTTAAGTTTTTAAATTTTTTCAAGGGGTTAGGTGCTATATAGAATGTGTACGTATCCAAAGTAAGTATACTTACCCGATAAGTATACTTAAGATTAAGCATTCAAAATAGTACCCCCAAACTCCAAAGTGCATGTATGCATTCTCTTTGTTTCAAAATTGGTAATTAATTCATAAATTAGGTCAAATTAAGCACATCAATCTACGAAGGACTAAAAATCTACAATAACGTACTTACTTTTGTCTATTGAGACGACTCCGTCAACTTGGATGCATGATTTGCAGCTGCATTCCGCGTCGACGACTTTCCGAGTTGGAAAGTCGAAGTAAACGGTTTAAAGGTCAATGTCAGTTTCAATGTGAAGTAAATCATGTGCTTAATTACAAAAATGATCGTATCATTTTTTGACATGCATTAATTAATTAACTCATGTTTCATGAGTTTTAAAAAAAAAAACTCATGTTTCATGAAAAAATATACTTTTAGTTTAAAAAATTCACATTATTTTCCATTTTATTTAATTTTGAGAATTGAACATTCTTTTCGATGTATATTATGTATCAAGACTCTTGGGACTAACATGTTGTCATGCATGTTTGATGGTCATGATAGTATTGATGAGTGTAGTGGAGGATCTAGGGGGTCATAGGGGGCAAGTGCCCCCACTTTCGATCCCGGAATTTGGTATTATAATTAGTACTTCTGTCAAAGAGCATATGTACGTTGTTATAAGACATTTAAATGACTACGTAGTTATGATGATGCGATTTTATACAATTAGACATGTTATTGACACGGTTATTCTTTGAAAAGTGGCAGTGGTGATTATTTTTGTGAAGTATGAATTGTCTTTTTCCAACATTAGAAGTCAATGATATGACGAGACTTCTAATATGTGTGGTGCGCTTAATGGTTTTAAGATTATCTTAAATAAAATTTTATATACAAGATATATTCATTGTTTTTTTACCAATTACAATTAGTTGTGGTGGCTATTGCACACAAAAAGTTTGTGGATACTTTCTTTGGATATTTCTCCAGGGTTATGTTACTAAAATGTTGGAATCCTCTTATAAAATAAAGGGCGTATTCCGACAAACGGAGATAATTAAATCAAGAAATTAAAGTAGTTTAGCTCGGCCGGGAGTTACATGTTGGGGTTCACAATTTAATCCGATCTCAAGTTGAAGGAATTTTGGACTGTAATTTTGTGGCGGAGCTAGAAAAACAGTTCAAAGGGTTGAAAATCAATTATCTACAAAATGAACATGATGGATTGTTTTTAGACAGTCTAAATTGAATGTTTCATATGTAGTTTAGATAAATAGACACTCGTAGAAATAAGATAGATTGTCTTTGATCTTTTTCTGAGTAATGTAACGTAAATAATGAGTTAATTATACACTATTATTAAAATATGGCAAAATCATCAATACGTAGTACTTCGTATTACAAATCAAATTTTGTTGATTTTGCGTTTAGATAGTGCTGATTTTTCAGAACATAACTTTTTATTCGTAATGAGTTATGAAAGCCATAATATATCAAATCCATGATATTTCTAATCTCTATACTCTCAAGCTTTCGGGCGGGGGGGGGGGGGGGGGGGATCGACTGACCACCCTATCCCCTAGCTCCGCCCCTGCATGCGAGTACATTTATTATTACAGTCACTCTTTAAGCTATTTTTGGTAAGATAAAAGTAATCGAAAGAAACATGTGTATTGAACAAGTGACGTACAAAAAATGATACTCCGTAAGAAAAATGCAAGAAGTATGTAAATATGCTTGAAATCAAACTTAGAATTCAGTGGTTATTCGAGTAAAAATGTATGGTGTTTAGAATATTCTCCTATTTATAAGAGAAGTGATTAATGCTCACATAAGTAGTGTTTCGTCCGCTATGACGATTTCAGACTCATCATAAAGACTATGAACAACTCAAATTGATTAGCCTCCCACCTTAATTATATCAATTATCGTATTAATACATAAAATAACATCCCAATAGCCAACATTATATCTTATAAATGTAGCATTAACATTCATGTTCAATTTCCACAAATGTAGAATTAAACTATCGAATATTTGCTCTATCGGTTGCCCCCTTTTGACAAGTTGAGCCGTATATGTGCACATGTTAGCCCGTTTAAACAGCAACTTTTTGCATTTTTGAAAGAAGTGGTATTGCACATCATTGAGTGTTGCGCTTGTCGATAAGTTATACTACTGATAAAACACGCCTGTTGGTCCCTTATCCTTCTTCTAGTTCATCGATCATCAATTCCATTTTTTATTGGGATAGCACGGTTGCATGAATGTGTTGATGGCTAGCAGATAGCTGCTAACAAGGGTTTCAGCTTGGTGATGGATGGTTGATGAAATTACGATTAACCCGTGTCTGGTCATGATTGACACAACTTTGGAGGAAAGAAGACAAGATCTCAACCTTTGTTCTTCATCGCTTCAGTCAAAGAGATGGATTCGATCAGAAGTGACTTGCAAGAAATTAAAGGTAGCAGAAGCGTTGCGTCAGAAGATAAAAGGAGTAAAAGAACGATGAACATAGTCGAGGGTGATGGCAGCGACGCGACAATGACCAAGACCTTGGCGATGGCGATGACAACTTGGGTCGAAACGACAATGTGAGGGGGGCTTAGCCAAAATTAGACTAAACCGGGCTTATCAATGTTCAAAAATAGTTCTGGCTGGTGTATTTGTTGTTCTAGCGGTGAAGATTCATTCTCATATGACTTGTTGCGATTTGGAGCAAGGAGGAGATGAGTTTGATGAGAACCCAAGAATGAAGGGAGAAAAAAATTAGAGGCATTTGGGTAAATTCAATATTATTTAGTACGGAGTACTTTTTATCCCAATTAAAATATGATCCTATTTTAGTCAACTCAAAACTCTATATTACTCCCTTCATCCAGTTGTTATACCGTATGACCGGTATACGGTGAGCACCGTATACCGGCATACGGTTTTAGGCATCTTTAGAAGCTTCGTATGAAACATGTATTAAAATGATAGTGGGTCCTATTATTTATTTATTTCTCTTATTGTTAAAAATTGTAATAACTTTTTCATTTCAGATCTGGTTTTTATAAAATTTATATCAAAATTTTTTATTTTTCATGATCTTTCAAATGAGATCAATATTGCCTATGTAATTTTAACATATTATCGAACTATTATATTAACCTATGTAAAATATGTAACTTTACGTGTAGAAATATGTAACTCACGTCCAGTCAGACCAAATGCAACTCGTGTGTATAAATATGTAACTCTACGTGTAAACATATGTAACTTTACGTGTAAAAATATGTAACTCGCGTTCAGACATGTCAAATACAACTCGTGTGTATAAATATGTAACTCGCGTGTATAAATATGTAACTTTAGATGTAAAAATATGTAACTTTACGTGTAAAAATATGTAACTCGCGTTCAGGCAGGCCAAATGCAACTCGTGTGTATAAATATGTAATTACTTAAGATAAATAGAAATGTAAATTACGTTAATAAAAATGTAAGTTGAACCAAATCAAAATGTAATTAAGGTACTCCGTATATAATATTTATATATATACACTCTATACTCTATATAAAATTTGCATCTTTCCTTCTCTTCAAATACTCCGTATATGTATCAATTTAATTAGTGGAATACTTTTTACTTTTGTTGGATGAGTAAACAGACAGCCGCAGAGCTCTAGCCAACACAAAGGAGCTCGTCATCATCTATGTCGTGAAACAGAAGGGCATGCGACTGGATGGATCTCAATTTGGAGTGGATCTGCAACGGTGCATCAACACGAAGTGGATCTCAATATGGGGTGCGCCCGTCTCCAACGACAGCGACCATACAACTCCAGACGACGAGAACTCCTTCCTTCTCAGCTCACTTGCTCTCCTTTTTAATTAACAAAACTATGTCGTTTTGGGATCGACACACCATGCGGATGGTGGGCCGATCCCACGGTATAATTTGCCCCCTTCATCCCTTAAAACTTGATCAAGTTTGATAATCATGAGAATTAATAAAATAAAAAGTGCAAAGAGAATTAACGGAAATCACATTTTTTAGTTAAAATGGAAGGTGACAAAGTTAGTGGAATAACAAAAAAAGGAAAGTTAACAAATTTAATTTTAAGGGAAGTATGAATATTATTTTTGCCATCTTCCAAAATAGATTCATACAAAAGTACCATAGTTTGAAAGACGTGTTTATGAAGTGGAATAAATGATGTTGGGATTGTTATGATATTGCAATGATAATGGGATGACATGGACGAAAGTACCATGATTTGAGATATATGTTTACAAGTAATCTTAATCCTAATTAGAAAATAAGATTGAAAAGTATTCATCTTCTAGAAAAAACTCAAATCTACGTCGTTAGCATGAGTTTAGTTTTTGAGCTGGAAAAGAGTGATTTCGATTTTGGTTATAAGTTTTAACCGGTATGGGTCTCATTTTGGACCCATAGGAACTCCCATTTACATAGATGTTTTTATATAGGATTAAAACAACATATAAGACAATAATTATTTTCTTTTCAAAATAAGATTTATTCACTCTTAATACTGAAAATTTATACTTTTGAAATGATCAAATAAATCTTATTTTGGAATAAAACATATGTAATCCTATGTATGTATGACTGTATGAAGTTTATGTATGCGATTTCCATATTTATAAGTAGCTAACAACTGCCCAAATTTTATGGATTTGAATCACGCATATGACCCTAAATTTTCACGTGGCCAATTTTAACAGCTAGTACATCCTCCATGAATATTCTTTCTGCTCTCCTCCTTTTTCTGATGATCTTCAATGGCCTTAAATCTGCCGCTCAAACATGTTCTCAGACCGCCGGAAACTTCACCGCCAACAGTACCTACGCCGCGAACAGAGCTCTCCTCTTCTCTGCCCTGTCCTCCAACATCTCCTCAAGCTATGGCTTCTTCATGAACACCACAGTAGGCCGTGGCGCGGACAAAATATACGGAATCGCCCTTTGCAGGGCCGATTCAACCTCTGAAACTTGCACCAAATGCGTCAATACTGGAACTAAAAACCTCACAGATGTTTGCCCGAACCAAATGGAAGCCATCGTTTGGGCAAGTGAGGGCTCCGTTCCGTGTATCGTCCGGTATTCAAACCGTTCCTTCTTCGGGGAATTGGAGTTTTCTCCGAAACTGTTACTTGCCAGAACGGATGTGTTCGAAGCGGATGAAGTTGAATCGGTTAAGAAGATTTGGGATCCTCACGTCTCCAGCTTAATAGGTAATGCTTCTCAGGGAACGAAGATCAAGTATGCTTCCGGCCAAACGAATTTACAGAGCTTTCAGACAATATACGCGATTACGCAGTGTACTCCAGATCTGTCTCACTCTGATTGTGACTCTTGTTTGACGAGAATTGTGAGTGATTTTCAGAGCTGTTGTGGTAAAAACAAAGGAGGCGCTTCCTATAATCCGAACTGTTTGTTTCGTTGGGATCTGTATCCCTTCTATAACTCTTCCTTTACTCTTACTGCTCCGCCGCCTCCGCCGATGGCTTCATCTCCGGCGGCCCTGCTTTCTCCTCCTTCTGCCAATTCAACGAATTCCAAAAGTACGAACTCGATGCGCTATCCCGTTTGAATTTAAAATTTATTATGAACTTTTAGGTATACTATTCCATATTTCCATTCAAGCGATCCCATTTCTTATGAATGTGCAGATCGGAAGAGGAGATCTGGGACTGTTGTGTATATTGTAGTCCCAATTGCAATTGCGTTATTGGTGGTTGTTGCTGTGGTAATTTTCAGGCGAAGGAAGCAAAAGTCATTAGGTATTGAAAGGCTGGTCTCAGAGACGAAGGGGAATAACGTTGGGGCAGAGTGCCTGCAATTCGACCTTGCCACTATCAGAATTGCCACTAACAGCTTCTCCGATCACAACAAGCTCGGCGAGGGAGGATTCGGTCCTGTTTATAAGGTACTCGATTTTTTTTTTCCCAGATATTACACATATACTACGTACTACGTACTACGTATTTATGTACTCCCTGCCCAAAATTAACTCCCCACTTGGGTCATTTCCCACTTCTTTATGTGACAAATTATTTATATCAAAGTGCAAAATAGTGTCAAACAGTGTCGAAATAATAAAATTTACTATCTACTACGGAACGGAGTAGTAAATTTATTTTCTTAATATGTTTGAAATCCAAGTGGAAAGTTAATTTCGGAACGGAGGGAGTATTATTATTCTGCTAAAAACAATTCTTCCCGTGAATAGTGGGAATGACAAATTTATGGAGATTTAAGGTTAAGAAGTTGTACATAATGCACATAAAAGTTGAATATGTTTGCAACAATGGACATTTTTTATTTTACATAATGTACAATTTTCATATCTAAAGGTCCATATTTATTTAAATGTTTTTCTTAAATTGTATTCTCAAATCTCAATACGAATTCTTATTATATACAGTATATATGTAGTATTTTTTTATTAAAATTCCATATTCATAAAGTATTCTATAAATTCCAATGAATCTCAAATTTAAATTCAAATATTTTTTAAAAATGATGCAAAAAATTGAGGTTTAAGGAGGAATAATTAAGAAATAACGAAGAATATATAACGGAAAAATGTTGAGGACAAAAAATTTGTATACTTTAGTGATTATAATGGTATCTTTAAGGTCCGGATCATTTTCAATTTTACACTATTGTAAATGTAAATATATACAAATAGTAATTTTGGTAGTATTTTTGTTTAAAAATTATATTTCGACGATACGTAAGAAGAAACCTCATAGATGAAAGTCTTAGGTGAGACTAATGGAGTAGTAATTTATTTTAACTCTGTACTTCAAGTTATTACGAATCTAAATTTAGACATACAATCTAAATTTAGACATACATTCAAGTAAGCCCCAGAACCAATAAGTTTTACTACTATTAACTTTTGTTCAAAGAAGGTGATTAAGTAATTTCGAAATTCTAAACTTATTTGAATTTCTTTTCCTATGAAAGCGATTAGCGGAAATTCGCTTTTGACATATCAGGAATTGTCAAAAATACACTGGAATTGTCACTAATGAGGCAGTCACTGTGATCTATGTGACCAATTATCATTACCCATGTTGGTATATTAGGAAAGTATCACTGGTAGTGCTGAGTTGCTGACACTAGCCCTTACATATTAAGAGTGATTTTTGAGGAATTTAATTTTGGTCTTACAACTATTTCTGTAGATATATATATTTATACATTAATAGTTTAATGTAACCTAATAATGTACCCATCATTTGACTATATATGATTTAGGGCATGCTCATAAATGGGGAGGTCGTAGCTGTGAAAAGATTGTCCAGAAACTCAAAACAAGGAGAAGAAGAATTTAAGAATGAAGTGATTTGTGTTGCAAGATTACAACATCGAAATCTAGCTAGACTTGTGGGATTTTGCTTGGAAGGAACTGAAAGGCTTCTTATATATGAGTTCTTTCCCAACTCAAGTCTTGATCGTGTAGTATTTGGTGTGTGGAGTTTTCAGAAACTTTGTAACCTAGTGATGGATGAATGGTTTTCATTTGTGACAATATTTTTATCTATATGTGTGTAGATGCACATAAGCGTGGAAGGTTGGATTGGGAGATGCGCCATAAAATAATTGTAGGAATAGCTAGGGGACTTGTTTATCTTCATGAAGATTCTCAACTTCGGATTGTTCACCGTGATCTCAAAGCCAGTAACATTCTATTGGATGAGAACATGAATCCCAAAATATCAGATTTTGGAATGGCAAGATTATTCGAATCAGACGATCAAACAGGAGACGTCACTAGTCGGATTGTCGGCACTTAGTAAGTTCATTAGTCCTCCGCATTATCCTTTATTTAGACATTTGAATTATTTTTTGAGCGCACTTGGATAAATTAGTGCCTATTTGATAATAAGATTTTCACCACCACTGGTCGTATTTTGCATTAACTAGTTAACCACTAATACTTTAACTTCACAATTTTGATTATTAACATATCGATTAATGACAAACAACAGTGGCTATATGGCTCCAGAATATGCATTCCACGGTGAATTCTCAATCAAATCTGATGTTTATAGCTTTGGAGTTTTATTGCTTGAGATAATCACTGGTCAAATGATTCAGAAGTTTCGTGGTGGAGAAGAAAGACAGGACCTTGTGAATTATGTAGGATAAGTACATATTTATGTCTTTATACTTGCGTTTCAATTTCAATATATGCACATGTTACATTCCTACTACCTATTCACATACATACATAATTGAGAACATAATTTAACCCCAAATCATGTATTTTGTAGGCTTGGAAAAAGTGGAGTGAAGGAACAGCATTGGATCTCGTTGATCCCACAATGTCATTGTTTAGTATTTCCACGAGTGATATATTGAGGTGCATCCATATTGCATTATTGTGTGTGCAAGAAAATGTGGGAAATAGACCAACTATGACGTCAGTTCTTCTAATGCTTAGTAGCACCTCATTTATCATGCCAAGACCATCAAGACCTGCATACATTCTTGAATCCACGACGCATCAACACAGATCATCATCATTGTCAGCTACCCATAGTAATTCACACTCAACTTCTCCTCGTTCTAATAGCCACGTCGAAAGAAGCTCTAGGAATGATGTTTCTATATCAGAGCTAGAACCCCGATAGCCTTACACACCTCTGGTTTGATCATTGTGATAACGAACATAGTATGACTGAGTGTATAATTTGTATAACTTTGTCTTATTATACAAAAAAGTGCAGAGCTATCAGTTATGCATGTTCATTGTTATTTTCATATGGTGTCATGAGCCTGATTTTTTTTATACCTAAACCTTGAAAACTTATCGACCACATGTCCACATTTACATCCTTTCAAGATCTATCACTGCATCTTCTTCGAGTACATGTTTTCATTTGCACCCACTGAAGGTGACACAATCAGACTCTAGGAGCACTCCAGCAATGGTGACACAACCAGGCTTTAGCTCTTACGGCCCTCCTCGTAATATGTGATGCGACTCCTCTTGCATCGCCAAATTGTAGATTCTTTCCACAACGTTTTCCGATCTAGGGTTTCCCCCCATCATGGTGAACATTCTGGTTTTTCGGTGATTTCCTACATGGCGCCGTTTATTTTTGGTGTTTTCATTGTTCTTTGCACCATGCAGGCGCTTTCACCTAGATGCCATTGACACTAACTTTTAGCTCCATTTTTATCCACTCATGGCTTGTTTGCTCAACTGATTGGGCTATGTATAATTGTATATTAACTGGATCATTGGATGTTCATATATTTGACTCAATGGATCTTGGTCCCACTCTATTGTTTCCTTGCAACTATATTTGTGGATTACTCTCTTTCTATCTCTTTCTCACTTGAAACCCTCAACCATTACTTATGTTTTTTCAGAGGCAAGTGGTTAATCTGGAATACTCTCAAAACCTCAAGATTGATCAACCTACGTAGTTTTGACTTTTCGATACACTTTTTCGAGTGCTTCTTATTGATCAAGTGATCAGGTGCATGACCTCAAATTGGAAACTACTTTGTGCGGTAGTTGAGAATAATAACCGCCATACCTCATGGGTACTTGTGACACTTAGCTTTTACTCAAAATAATAATAACTAATGACTAACTCCACAATTCCTTATAATGAGAAATTAAGCGCTTCAATTTCATAGATCAGGCAAAACTAACATACATAAAACTATTCTGAAGACTAGCACACAAAGTAGTATCCAATTTCAGGTCATGCACCCGATCACTTGATCAATAAGAACCACTAGGGAAAGTGTATCAAAAAGTCAAAACTACGTAAGTTGATCAATCTTGAGCTTTTGAGAGTATTCTAGATTAACCAATTTCCACTGAAAATCGGCCATTTGAGGCGCTTAAAAATGCTTACGCACGGCGGTGATGTTGGATACTCATTGTGTTGTCGGAAAAAGTCACCGGAAAATTCTCTGACGATCATGGTGACACGTTTCACGATGCTAGTGGCATCCGTAAGTCACATGAAAGTTCGAGGTGTCACTGACGAGGAGATTGGTCACTATAGGGTGGCGAAGAGTCACTGATGATGGTGGCCAGTCTGGTGATGGTGCAAAGTTTCGCTTGAAGAGGTTGTCGGAAAAATTTTCTGCGATCGTAGTGAAATGTTTAACGGTAAAAATGAAATTTATAAGTGACATAAAAATCTGACAGTGACATAAAAATCTGGTAGTGAAATAAAAATGGTAGTAACATAATATTTTTTCAAATATGTGACCTTCTTAGGTATATTTTTATGGGAAAAGTACAGAAAACGTACATGTGGTTTGGACCATTTTCAGATAGGGACATGTGTTTCATTTTCTAACAAAGTGGGGCATGTGTTTCAATTCTGTTATCATAGCAGGGGGCATGATGTCTAACGCCGTTAGAAAAATTAACACCGATTTTAAAAAGTCTTCGAAAAATTGAAAGAAAAATACTGGAAGATGCACCTCGTCAAGGAGATCAACAAACTATCTTTATTTTTTTGTTTCCAGCCACCATATCTCCAGAAAGTCAATTAGAAAATTGATATTAGCGAATTTGTTTTTAAAAAAATAATCCAAATAGAGCCGAAAAATCCAAAGAGAAAGATAGTTTGTTGATCTCCTTGACGAGGCGCACCTCCCAATATTTTTCTTTTAATTTTTCGGAGACTTTTTAAAATCGGAGTTAATTTTTCTAACGGCGTTAGACACCATGTCCCTGCTATGATAACGGAATTGAAACACATGTCCCACTTTGTTAGAAAATGAAACACATGTCCCTATCTGAAAATGGCCCAAACCACATGTACGCTTTCTGTACTTTTCCCTATTTTTATCCTTTTGAAAACATGGTCACATTTTTTTTAAATTAACTTTAATTTGATAATATTCAAGTAAAAAACCCTTAAAAATACTCTAACATTAACTTTCATAGAAATAAATGTTTGAATACACCTATGCTAAACACTTTAAATCAATACGGCTATATATGCAGGGGAGGATATGATCTATGCACGAGCTATGGTAGGCTGAAACTCAGGGCAACTTAGAATTTTTTTAATTTTTTTAGTGTGATTTTTTCATTTTTCACGTTTAGCCCACCCCTCTAATACTTACCTAGTATTTTAATAAAATATATTTTAAATACTTTTTCCGTCCTTTAGCTTAAAACTTTGTCAACTTTCTATTGTTTGTTGTCCCACCAACTTTGTACGTCACTTTTCTTTTTAAGTAAAGAACTTGTTGTTTCAATTCATTCTCTCTTCTCCGCACAAATCTCAATATATAGTTTTTATTTTATTAATCTTTCTTATGGTCAAACTTGGCTAAGTTTTAAAGGACGAATGGAGTATAATTCTTTCACAAATCAGCAGAATCAATCAATTCAGTCACTTCAACAAGAATTTCATAAATTTCAACTGAATCAGCAAATAAAGCCAATTTTGATATTACCAAACGGGTTCTTCAACTCGATCTTACATAATTTTATCACAATACTAACTCTAAAAGGATAGTAATATATAGTGGAGTTAAAACTAACTTAAACTAATCATCTACCTGGTTAACGTTCTGCAAACCCTCGTTGAATACTTGAACACACTGCCAAGGATTACCATACGTACTTCCTCCGTCTTACCATATAGTTTCTGTTTCAAAATGATACATTTTTAAAAATAAATAAAATAAAGTAATGTGCCTGTCAAAAAAATAAAATAAAGTAATGTGAGTATATTTTGAAAAGTTATTTCAATTGATATATAATTGACATAATGTGATTGGTAATAAATGTGATATTATGAAGTTATTGTTTTTAATATTGACATAACAAATAAATTTTCAAAGAGGGTTAATCGTTTTTTAAGAGGTAATTCATGTATGATAAAAAAAACGAAGAGGTGATTCATGTATATATTGAGACGACTGCGTCAACTTGGATGCATGGTTGGAGTCCTCTTTCCGCGTCGACGACTTCCGGCATAAGACACAAATTCAAAGTCAAACAAGCCACCTATAGTCAGCGGCCATTCGGCCAACATCTAGATTCTAGAGATAGTACGTAACTAAATTGATTGAAGCTAAATGCCAATATCAATAGGCAATATACGACCAACTATTTATTCATATACATGTATATGTGGTCGATCTCCTTCCATGCAAATTGTGCTGAATTATCCGAAAGGAAAAATAATTGGCTGTGGTTTTCTTGAAGTTCAATAGATATTACTACCTCCGTAAGGTTGAGATCTTTCCATTTTGAAAGTGGATAAGATCAAGGATACTGAAAAGGATTATAAATTATTGAAGGTATGATGAGAAAGTAATGAAATAGTGTGGTGGAATGAAGAATAAATCCAAAAAAAGTAGGTGTAATAGTGTATTATGTTTAAAATTATTGAGAGTATGATGAGAAGATTATTAAGTTACCTTTAAAAAATAAAAGTGAGAAGATCTTTGCGTTGCGGAGGTAGTATACAACTATGACGTATGGTTTTAATAATAGAGAAACCTGTTAATATTAAGAATAATACTCCCTCCTTCCTATTTTACTTGTCTTACTTTTCTTTTTATTTGAATTGTCCCAAAATAAGTGTCACTTTTCCCCTTTTGGAAAAAAATTTGTGGTTCACAATATTTCATTTTTGTATACTTAAATCTCAATCACAACTTTTACCTTTTCAACCACTTTATTAAAAATTGTGCCAACATAAAATGAGACGAAAGTAGCAGTCTATAACAATTTTTAGAAGTATTCCAGTGCAATACATTACGGAGTAGGAAGTACTTTTGTTTGTTGTTATTGTTATGGAATATGGAATAACTTTTTTATTTTGATTGATGGGGAGGTATGAGATGAATAAAATCTAGGGGCATAATAAAGTCAAAAGTTTATTAACACGTGAAAATATGTGATCCTCCATATGGGATCAGATAAGATTTACATGCCCGATCAAATTTAAAAAATACACCGTAATATATTATCTCAGAGGAAACTTCATGTCAGGCCGGTCTGACGGGCTGCCCCGTCCGGCCGAGCCCGTTTGGGCACCTTTCCGGTGTAATTTTTTGATGAAATTTTTTGAGCATGTTTCTCATCAAGTCTAGTTTGTCCATACCAAATTTCAGCTCCAAATTCGATCAGGAAGGTCGTCAAATGATTTTTGCAAGTTAACTGGTCCGGAATATGTATTTTCCGGACCAGTTAACTTGCAAAAATCATTTGACGATCTTCCCGATCGAGTTTTGAGCTGAAATTTGGTATGGACAAACTAGACTTGATGAGGAACATGCTCAAAAAATTTCATCAAAAAATTCCACCGGGAAGGTGCCCAAACGGGCTCGGCCGGACGGGGCAGCCCGTCTGGCCGGCCTGATGAGAAGAGCCCTCTATTATGTCATGCACACATATATATTCTATGTACATGCTTTTATTAAAGCATTCAGATTGACCAAACGAGCCTAATATTATACTACGTAACTCATTAAAAACATCCTTAATTTTAAAAAGGGTTTTCAAAATTATTATGTCCAACGCAAAAGCATCTTCATTTACAATTCAAAGACGTTTTGATGCCTTCCCTTATACTGCGCATTGTTTTCACTGTTTATTTATTTGAAAAATCTCAAACAAACGGTATGTTTGCAAAAAATTAAAAAAAAAGTGGTTTTTAGCTTTTGACTTTGAAAAGCTGAATGTTTTTAAGTGATATTTTTTACTTAAATTAAACACTTAAAAGTTAAAAGCTAGAATTTGATTTTTAGTTTTTCTATTACACTAAATAAAAGCGCATATTATACCAAAAACTACCAATTTTTACTTTTCAAAATTAATTTTTTTCCAAACACCATCAACTTTTACTATTAAGGGAAAATGGAAACTAATAATCCAACCTTTTAGCGGTCTTCTTTCAATAATCCCACCTTTTGATTATTCATGAATAATCCAACCTTTGCACCTCATCTTCATTCATTGGTCCCTGGTCGGTTAATGACCTACTATTCCAAGTTATTTTCTTATCTTTGCAAAATATTATCTTTGTGAAAGATGAGATTTATGGTATAATGATTTGCAAAGATAAGAAAATAGCTTGGAATAGCAGGTCATCATCCGGTCAGGGACCAATGAATGAAGATGAGGTGCAAAGGTTGGATTATTCATGAATAACCAAAAGGTTGGATTATTGTAAGAAGACCGCTAAAAGGTTGGATTATTAGTTTCCATTTTCCCTACTATTAATCATTTTTTCCAAAAGCACATTACAAAGTGTTTTTTTAAAAGCAAAAGCATTTGCAAACACCTCAAATGAGTTG